TTTATGTGCTTACATTTGTTTTAAAGGACTTGTTATCTGTTCCCTTTGCTTAATTATAAAAGCAATTTTAAGCGTTATCATACATTGTTGTTGTATTTCCGCTCAATTGTATATTCCAGTTGTTAGAAGTTCGATCCCTCTTTTAGTATTTGAGTTGTTAAATATCCTTTTTCTTTTGAAATTCTAAAATTTGCTGCTGTAAACTATTGGATTTTAGGTAGTGTTTACCGTAAGTTGCAGTTCTGTGAAGTGATTGATAACCTGAGATACAAAGACCCATATTTGCATACTTACGTAATTTTTATTTTGGATTTAGTTTAGACTCAAAATGGAAGGCTAAGTTAACAAAGAAGCCTATTTGTGATGATGAGTATGAGAAGTGAAAGAATAATGGGACACTGTCCAGTGCATTCATATGGTTGCTTCTTGTAGGTTTGTTCTTTTAACTTCTAATGTGATTGACTGTTATCATTGTGTCTTATTGCACGTATGGAGATCGTCAGCTAGATTTTATATTTTCTGGTATTGCTTGGTAGGGGCTCCTTCTATCCATACTACTCCTATGTACCTTGTTTATGATCCCGCGGATCTTCAAATTCTGGTATGTTTTCTATTTATTTGACTGGTAGGAAAGGAGTTATGAACTACCTGTAATGTTTGCTATGATGTGATGCAGAAAATTTTCATTTTCTGGTTTTACCTACGTGTCCTTGGGCAAAGTTGCCTAAAAAATTCAAAGGACTTGTTATGGGCATCAATTTTCCGAGGTTGCTAGTATGAAATACCTGCGGATGCAGTTACAGTACATTAGCTTAAGTTGTTTTTCTTTTCAATGTGCAGGCAAAGAAGCCATTTTACGAAGCTATGGATAAATGTGGCAGATACTTGGCAAACAGCGGTGTATTTGTGGAAATATGCAGACTTTTGTTTGCCACCCATATAAATTGGATGAGGTATTAAATTTAAGTTGATGTGGGATAATGTTAACATATATATATATGTATTATAAGGTAAAGTCTGTTACCTGTCTACAATGGTAGGGAATTCTCTCATTTGTTTTATTACACTCCTCTCCTTTAGGGATACTTGCTCAAGCTGCATTTTTCATTAATATAAGTTGTTTAATAATTCTGGATCCCAACTCTACTGATAATGCTGAGTTCCAGATGGTGCTAACTATCATTAAGGACAGCCTGAAAACTGATCCCAAGAAGTACCACAAGATGAAGGACTGATTGGTTGGTGTCTCTGAGGAGACTACCACCGGAGTTGAGATACTCTACCTGATGCAGGCTAATGGAACTCTCTTGTTCTCAGCCATCAGTGTCAATGACTCGGTCACTAAGAGCAAGGTACTGATACTCATTCATTTTCAAAACATACTCTGCTTTTTTAATTGCTCTATATCTATTAGATCTAGTTAATTTTAGTTCAGATAGGTTTTTGTCTTCATATCTGTTCTGTCAAAATAGTCCTGTCTGTTTCGTCAAATGTCATAGTTAGTTAATTATTGTAATCAAATTGATGCTGATGTTAAAGTAGGAATTGCAAGTTGTAGATCTGATGTTTACGTGCTTTCCCTTACTGTGATTTCTTGATCTACATTTACTAACATTATGTTCAACATAAATGAATTACAGGAAATAATTACCAATAAAACTTGAAATATTTAAATAATTAATTCGAGTAAGAATTGATTTGGTTGAAACATAATCATGATTATTCATTAACGAATTCAGATGCTAAATTAAGGATGATATTCAAATTAGAGGAGTCAGATTAGAATGTTAATGATATTTAGTGATTGATATTACTTGTTCGTTCATGTCTTTGTTTTTCATCTAACAATGGTTAAAACTGGTTATGTCTTAACAATTTAATAATTTGTGCGGATGTCGCCACTCTCTCCCTGATGGTCTGATGAGGGCAACTAATGTCATGATTGTCGGCAGGGTCGCTGTTGTTTGCAGTTATGGTGATGCTGGCAAGGGCTGTGCTGCAACTTTGAAGCAGGCTGGTGCAGAGTCATTGTTACTGAAATCAATCCCATTTGCGCTCTTCAGGCTTTGATGGGGAGGGTCTCCAAGTTTTGACATTGGAAGATGTTGTCTCTGAAGCCAACATTCTTTGTCACCACCACTGTTAATAAGGACTTTATAATGGTGAGCCACATGAAGAAGATGAAGAACAATGCCATCGACTGCAACATTGGTCACTTTGACAATGAACTTGATATGCACGGACTTGAAACCTATTCTGGTGTTAAGCATATCACCATCAAAGTCCCAAACTAACAGATGGGTTTTCCCAGAAACCAACACAATGACTGTAGATCGTCTCATGAACTTGGGTTGTGCCGCTGGGCACCCCAGCTTTGAGATGCCTTGCTCATTCACAAACCAAGTGATTGCCCAGCCGGAGTTTTGGAAGGAGAAGACAACTGGCAAGTACAAGAGGAAGGTGTACGTTCTGCCCAAACACTTTGATGAGAAGGTTGCTGCTCTTAATCTGAGGAAGCTTGGAGCCAAGCTGACCAAGCTCACCCAGAACTAGGTTGACTATATTGGAATTATCAAAAGTTTTACTCGTCAAAATTGACTCTAAATAAATGCACTTTCCTGATTTAGTACCGTAATATTTCTCATTTTTTCTTAAAAAAATAATAATTGATACATAAACCATTGTATTTATTTCTTCCTATGATTGGATTAATTTTTTTGGTAAATTATTTTTTTGACGAATTTTTTCTTGTTTCAGACACATTTAAATTTGATATAAATTTTAAAAAAGTGTAAATAAAGAAAAATAATTAATAAAATAGGTCAAAGTTCTTAAATTTAAATAAAATATGAATTAATTAATAAATAATTATTTTTAAATTTAAATAAATTTATATATTTTTATAATTATTTATATTTTAATTACATAAATAATAATTATATAATATATAATTATAAAAATATAAAAAAAATTCATATCTTATATTTTCTAAAATAAAATTAATAAAAACTAATTTTTAAAATTTAAAAAATTTTAACAGATGATAATAAAAATATTTAAGTTATTTTAAAATATTTAAAATTGATGTTTCTATTATTTTTTAATAAATTTGAATTTTGTTTTAGTTCTTTAATTATTAAAAGCGTCATGTGAAATTAAATTGTTTCTAAAAGATAATAAAAATATTTTATATTTCCATTATTTTTTAATTTAACAAAAACAGATGAATTAAAAAATATAAAATATTAAAAGACCAACCCGTCCCACCACCGCCGCGAGTGATCGAGTCTTTACATTTTCGAAACCCCCATTATCTTCAACATTAATATTCCTCTTTTTAAATTTTCTCTTTCTCTCGAATGGACCGAAGGAGAGAAGACGTTGGTGATCTAGATGTAGCTCAGGCTCGTATGCGAGAGGCGATTGCTTTTGTCAATAAGATCAAGCGTTCATTTGCGAAAGATGTGCGCCGTTACATGTCCTTCTTGGATTTGATGATGATGTACGAAGCTGGGGCTAAGACTATTCGTCAGGTTTACGCAGATTTGGCTGTGATTTTCGCTGAACATGATGATTTGATGCAGGAGTTTAATGCAATGATCTTGGATTCTGCGTCGGGTGAGGACGGTGAGACTGGAGAGGGTTCCTATTTTGATGATTATACCAAAGCAAAAGATTTCTTTAAAAAGGTCAAGGCCGAACTTCGCAATCCCCATAAGTATTCGACCTTCTTGAATCTTTTCAATCTTTACGCCGAACAAAGAATCCATAAACCTGACTTGTTGAAACTCTCTGCTGATTTAATTGGAGATGGTCCTCTTCTGGATGAATTGAAAATTTTCTTGGAATTTCTTGATAAAGAGACAAGTAAAGGTAATGAAAGCTCAACTAGACGCTTAGAGAAAATAGATAAAGAGACAAACAATGATGGGTGCAGGGAGCAGGAGAAGAATGCAGATAAATCAGTTGCAGAGCTGGACCTCTTCAAATGTAAGCAGATTACTCCCAGCTACAGGCTGATACCTAAGGAACACCAAATTCCAGCGTCAATCCACAGAACGGAGTTGGGTAACCAGGTGTTGAATGATCAACTCAAATGTGTGAGTAAAGATGAGTTTGCGGAAACATCAGAAAAAAATAAACCGAGAACCGGAAGTCCCACTGAGGAGGCTATGTTTGTCCGTGAAGGCGAGATGTATGAGACGGACATGTTGGTTTCGACTATAACAGCTGCCATTGCGCATGGGGAGCAGATATTAAAGGAAACTGAGCAAGGGAATGAAATTAAGCGAGAGCCTCCACTTCGCTTTTTCAGTTTGATTGAGAAGATGTATGGTGATAGTGGAATGGACGCAGTAGATTTCTTCCATGGAGATCCAACTGGGGCCTTGGCTCGCTTTATACCGCGCTTCAAACAGAAACTGGAAGAATTGTTAAATTTCCGTTCAAAGCAGAGAATTTTCATGTGATGAAACTAAAATACCTTTTCTTATCTGTGTAATATGTTTGTAAATACATTTGGTTGATTGACTTGCTTGAAAATTCTCTTTTTGGCTTTTTTTTCTTTTCAATAAGAACAATACAGTTTCTTACTACAGTTGTATTTCCCTTCTTGCAGTAATAGGATAATCTAGGTTATCAGATGCTTCTTGCTATAATTATATTTGTACTTTGGGTTCTCCAGCTAACTGGCTCTTTAGTTAGCATCATTGGTCTTTCTTCTCCATGCTTTGATCATATGTTCACTGCTTTGTACGTGCTACATTTGTTTTGAAAGACTTGTTCTTTGTTCTCTTTAGTTAATTAGAAAAACAATTTTAAACTTATATTGCGGTCTTTAAATCCTTATCATACATTGTTGTTGTATTTCTGGTCAATCGTATATTCCAGTTGTTAGAATTTTGGTCCCTCTTTTAGTATTTGGCTTGTTAAATATCATTTTTCCTTTGACATTCTAAAATGTGCTGCTGTGAACCATTGGATTTTAGGTAGTGCTTACTGTAAGTTGCAGTTCTGTTGAAGTAGTTGATAATTTGTGACATGTGAAGACTGATATTGCATACTTATACTATGTTTATTTTGGATTTAGTTTAGACTCAAAATGGAAGGCTAAGTAAGCAAAGAGGCCAATTTGCCATGATGAGTATGAGAAGTGAAAGAATAGTGGGACACCATCCAGTTCATTCATATGGTTGTTTCTTGTTGGTTTGTTCTTTTAGCTTCTAATGTGATTGACTGTTATCATTGTGTCTTATTGCATATATGGAGATCGGCAGCTAGATTTTATATTTTCTGGTATTGTATGGTAAGGGCTCCTTCTATCCACCCTACACTAAATATTTACATTGTTAACCATCCTGCTGATCTTCAAATTCTGGAATGTCCTCTATTTATTTGACTGGTAGGAAAGGAGTTATGAACTACATGTAGTGGTTGCTACAATGTGTTACAGAAAATTCTCGTTTTCTGGTTTTACCTTCATGTCCTTGGACTTCCAGGTGCCTTGCATACTAAAAAATTCAAAGGACTTTTTAAGGGCATCAAATGTCTGAGCTTGGTAGAACATACCACCCACGGATACAGTTGCTATACAGTAGCTTAAGTTTTTTAGCTTTTCAATGTGCAGGCAGAGAAGCCATTTATGAAGCTATGGTTAAATGTGGCAGATACTTGGCAAACAGCAATATATTAGTGGAAATATGCTGACTTGATATTCAATTGTTTGTCACCCATGTAAATTGGATAAGGTATTAAATCTAAATTGATGTGGAGTAATGTTAACATGTATATGTATATGTCTTTATAAGGTAAATTCCATTAGCTGTCTAATAATAATAGGGATTCTCATTTGTTTTATACACACCTCATCTTTGGGATACTTGATCAAGCAGCATTTTTCATTAACATAAGTTGTTTAATATTCCTGGATTTTGAATGTTTATTTACTTGTGCTCCAGAATGCTTGTCCTGTGTATCTTATATGTAATATATGCAGCTTCTTGAGGAACTATTTTTAATCATTGCGTCCTTGCTTGTTTCATGTGATTATGGGGGTTGCTGTAATGCAGGTTGACTTCCTAAGGTAAGAGGTAATGTCTTTTGAATAGATCTTTATAAGTGTGTGTCAAACTCAACAGTTGAGAGTACTCTGGATTATAAAAATGAACAATCTTTCATCTGGTTTGTGTACTAGGCATCTACCAGTGACATAGAACTAGCGGAATTTCTGTAAGAATATTGTTGATAAATTTTTTATTAGCTTTTGATGGTAGGAAATGGAATAAATAGAAAGCTGAACTAAGGAAGAAAATATAAAAGATTAAAAGAACAAGTAAATGTTTCTAGAGGTTAACTTTGTGAGTTCCTGAAGCCTCAATCTCTATGGCTATAGTAAGAGGGAAAAACTCTTCATTTTTGTTAATATGTAATTTTGCTGGTCATGTCATCAACTTTGCTTTATTGGATTAGGTCATAAACACTGAGGTATTTAATTATTTCTAATTAGTGATATACATGATGGAAGGATGAAAATTTGTTGAGGAAGTTATTTGCTTAATAGACTATTAGGTGTACTTCTTATGAGTTATTTTTTTGATATATCCTATGGAGTGCCAGAGTTGGTTTGTTGTTCTGTTAGGGGTTCATAATTAGAATTCTATTCATATTATTCTTTAAGTTTTAGACATTCTGTTGGATATTCTTGACTTACTTGGGTGAGTCAAAGCTTCTGAAGTTCTGACTGATACCTTTCCACCATATTTTAAAAGTCAACTGCATAAGGCTGCAGCGTTGATCCACTACATATGTAAATGATCCTCTTTTTCTAACGAATAACTCTGGGAGAGTGTCAGAAGCCTCGCTCATGGCTCTTATCTAAGAGAAAACGGAGAATAGGAGGAGGAAGAGTTGAATGAGGGAGAGAAATAGATAAAACACTTTTGAGGTAATATTTTTTTTATGCTTTATTCAACTCAAATCATGCCTATTTATACCATACAATGGTGGGATGAGGAGTGTATAACCTCCAAGCGCGCTTGGAGTTTACAATAGGCCCGACAAGTTGATCGGGTAAGGGTCCTGATCATTCAACTACTCCTGTTTTTTTGCTCTCCACTTGCTTTTGATAAGGACTCACCATCTTATAAAAATTTTCTCACAAGTTGGAATACTGAGTCTATTTCTAATATAGTATTTAAGGTATTTATCTTCTGAAAATAGAATATACTATAAATATGAAATTGCAAACACTTGAAAAAATCAAACATAAGAAATGGTGTATATACTGAAGGCAAGAAACCAATGGGATGCAAATGGCTCTTTACAATC